TCCCAGACTCTCCCCAAGAGCCCTACCTGCTCTAAGATGGGGAAGTCGAGTTGTCGTGCAAACATGAAATCAAAGTTATGCAAGTGTTGTCTCTTTCTACATACCTCATCGCTCATCCCTTAGCCTGAACACTATGTCGGTAGTGATGGTACTTATTGCACTGGTGGTGCTGGTGGAGACGGCAACCGAAGCCTTTTGCCTCGGCTATGAGATGAACCACCTCTATGCATGATGGGGGATAAAAAATGCCTAAAACTATTTTAGAATAAATGTGGGGTTTTGGGAAATGGATAAGGATTATGAGGGAGGCATCCCATTTTATAGCCAAAATACACGCAGAATGGCTCATTTCGGGTCAGGAACGGCTCATCCCAGGTTTGGAATGGCCCATTTTGCTGTCAGAACAGGGCGTTCCATTTTTAATGTAACTAGAATGGGAGCGTTCTCATTCTGGAACGACCCGTTCTGACTAATGTGCTTTGGAACAGACCGTTCCACCCTGGAACGGCCTATTCTCCCCTTTTTTTGTCATCATGCAAAGATGTTGAATTGCTTATTTATGAAGAATGTTAGTTTTTGTATATTTTGAATAATTCCCTTAGGGTAAAGAAAAATATTCTACGTGTGTGAAATGTTTTTGACTACACGCAATGCATATTTTGATTTGGTTTTCAAAAGATGACTTTCCTTTTCTCTTTTTTTCAAGAGAATTACTTTGGTATGTTGAGGTGCAACATTAGTTATATCGACCAGTTAATGAATTAAACTATTTTAGAGGCTCTTTTCTTTTTCTTTTTGTTTTGGAAAACCAGACTTTTGCTTAGGACGTATCCTAGTGGGAATTTTTTATTTTTTTCTTTTTCCATAACTTTTGCCTAGGACCCCCTTTTATGTGTTTTCATCCTAACAGGTCATTTTCCCTTTCTTTCCTTCTTCTTCTATTTTAGACTTGTTTAATTTTTGACAAACACCAACAAGACACATCATTTACAATTGGTCAAAAGAGGAGAAAAGAAAGGTTGTTTTATTGGTTTCAAAACTTTATATAGAAAGAGATACAAAAGGTGTTTAGAAAGAATAGGTGGTCAAGGTAGGCTAGTATTTGAGTCTTATACAAACACTTCTTCAGATAACAAGCATAATCATTTCCCTAATTATCCAGAATTACGTATGTAAGTCTCTGAAAGACTTCCATAGAGCCTTGACCTCTTGAGGATGTATCCGAGCTACTTTTGGTTTTTGACTTTGATAGTAATCACTTGCTACTTTTATCTTCGATCCCTAATTTCTGCTTAGAACGTATCCTAGCAGGAACTCTTTTTTTTTTATCGTAACTTTTACCTAGGGCGCGCTTTACGGATTTTTGTCCTAGTAGGTTTTTGTGAGTGATTTTTTTAAGCATAATACTCGTTCATTGCGTTAGAACTCTTAGTCATCCACATCTGTAAGGATCACTACTTTTTTAGAGGACAACCCATTTGACTACATGTGGATCTTCATATTTGGGTATTTATTTCCCTATCTTGTCTTTTTGAACAATCAAGAACTTCTAGAACACGAGATTACCTTCCAGCAAACTTCAAGGATGAATTTCTAATTTTTTATAAGTCCATTCGTAGAATATGGCATCCAATTCTTCTTCTTTGATGAGTTTTGGTTGATTAATTGTTCTTCGAAGTCATTCTGATTTAGAAATTTTGACTTCCATGAATACTCTAAAGGCAAACGTTTCTATTTTGATGGGTAACATTGTCCCATCCCATATACTAAGGAGAAAGGCACTGTCTCTATTAATGCATGAACAACAACCTATCACCCATGTGGAGCATCTCTTGTGATAATTATTTTCTTGGATGATCTTCTTGATTTTCGTTGGCTGCCTCAGTTGTCTCATTCATTTTGGATCTGTGGGGAGAAGTCATTATTTTTTCCCTTTTTTATAATAAGGCTAGATCATTCGAACTTCTCCGCTTAACAATTTCTGCTTGTCTAAAAAAAATTCTCTTCATTCAGACTCAATTACTGCATACTGGATGTTCGGAATTTGATTAATTTCATTATCCTCAGTCATATTTGTTTATTCATTTTTTTGTAATTAGATTTAGAATTAAATGCACGGGAGAGGGAGAAAAGAATAAACAAGAGTTAAAGAAATGACATGTATCATTGATGAATGTAAAATTTATACAAGCCCTTATTTTGCATGAACTCGTGATCGTGGGCAAAGATCACGAGTTGACATTAAGAAAAATAAATAAGTTTTTGTTTTTCTAGAGAACCCCTTGATAGCTTTCCAACAAATCGTTCCAAGATTGCTACTCATCTTGGTCGTTCAGCGATGTTAGATGCATTGGCTCTAAACTTGAACCACCCAGTGTTGATAAGCTCCTGTACGCGATGCTTCGAGGCCATACAATTTTTAATGGAGTGCCTTACTACCCCAGAATGATAATCGTAAGTTTCTTCGGGCTCATAACATTGTGGATAAGGTGGCTCCAGCTTTTTCAACAGTAGGGTCTGTACCAACATCGAAGCCTTTTGTAACTGAGGGAATAGATCTACATAGCTCATAGGGATTTTGACAAAATTCTTTTCTGCCTTTGCGGAGATGGTTGTAGCATCAATTCCTTCCCCTCTCTTCTTTTCAAAAGCCTTTTTTGATCGGCCTTTACTCAACAATAGGGGCTCTATGGCTTTGCGTTTGAATGGTATACCCTGTATTAGGCGCACTTCAGAAGCTTCTCTTCCGTCAAGGTGGTGATCCTCAATGGCCCTTAGCCTCTCCTCTAGAGCATTCAAATAACAATTGGCATGATGGTTGTCACATTGCATTTTGATTATGGCCTGGAACATCCTGTGAGACCCGTGCTGGTAAAAAACACCCCCCAACACCCACTCAACTCTCTCTCATTTTCAAAACTTCCTCCTTACTTCTTCTTCTTCTCATTTCTGATTTTTCCCACCCATTTCTTGGACCCAAGGTGTTGAATAGGTGATTCTCTTCTGGAGCTGTGCCGTGCGGAGCCTCTTCCTTCATCTTCTTCTCCGACTCTCTTCCCCTTCGTTTCGTTTCCCTTCCCGGAAACTCGGAATCTTCACCCGAGGTAAGGGAAGTTAGTTTTCATGATTGATTTTTGGTTGTGAATGAGTGTTGAAAGCTCTTTAACTGTTGAAATTGGTGGATGTTTGATGATTGTTGTTGAATCGTTGAGATTGGGAAAAATTGGGGTTGTAGTGGGTTTTGAGAAATCTTGGGTCTCTTGGTTGTTTTATGGTTGCATGTTGAGAAAGAATTTATTTTTGGGTTGTTGGATGAAAATGGGGTGTTGTGGGTGGATTGCATGTGCTTGGATTTCTTGTTTTTGCAGGATTTGTTGTTCAAAAATGGTGGAGGGTTTGTGGTTGCTGTCACTAACGGCTGAGCCGTTTTGAACGGCTGAGCCCCTTGGGAGTTTCGTGACAGGGGAGGGTTTCTGGAACCAAACCGCTGAGCGGTTTTAAGGCGCTGAGCGCTTTGGGGGCAGAGAGCTCCCTGGAACCAAACCGCTGAGCGGATTTAAAGCGCTGAGCGCTTTGGGGGCCGAGAGCTAGAGGAGAATTTTTGGAAGCAAAGCGCTGAGCGCTTTGGAGGCGATGAGCGCCTTTGTACTTTCAGAATTGGACTTTGTAGTCTTCATGAACGTTGTAGCCTTGGATGTTAGCTTTCCAATGGCGCTGGAATCACTCAAAAAGGAGTTTTAGAACTCCAGATATGGCCGTTTTAGTGAAGAGGGGTCAAGCTGTCAGCATTAGTTATAGCTGTTTCGGTTTTTAAAATTTTTCACATGGTAGATGAAAGAATTAGGATTTGGGGTCTTCATGAGAGTTGTAGGAAATTTTCTTATCATTAATATGATATAAGGATGAACATGATAGGAGCATTATGACTCCAGCACAAATCCAGTGGTCAGCCACCTCTGGATCTGCCTCTCCCTTGAACTGAGGAGGATGGCACTTCCGAAACTCAGCCAGGTCCCGGCTCTCCTGTGACCCAGTGGGCCTTGCTGCACCAGCTGCAGCTCTCTCCGCTTCCATCCTAGCAAAGTAAGCATTTTGCTGCTGCATAGCCATGGCCATCATCTCCATGGCCCGGGCTATCTGTTCATTTGCTCTAGACATCGTCTACAAAAGCAACAACACCTTTAGCAAACAATATCTAAACCAAACAACAACTCAAAATACTACAGAACACCACAACAATCAACACAGCAATCAACACATCAAGGCAACATAACTCAGAGTTTAACACAACAAAAGCCCAAAGGAACCACCCCCAAAGAGTTCCCATTAGACTCGAACTGCTTTGATACCACTAAAGTGTAACGACCCGACTGGTCACTACAAGTCAACCTCAAGACACTGGAAACACTAGACAGAAAGAGCAAGTATATAATTATAGGGTCTAGAATATAAAAATATACAAAGCCTCGATCCGACTAGAATTAGAGTGTATTAAAACATCCAACCAACAAAATACATAAGCCACTGCTACACCTAGTAGCTGTTACAACAAAATGTCAATCAAACACGACCAACTCTGCGTACCAGCTGCCGACTCACCACGAACCAAAACACCTACTCCTGTTCTGCTCCCGTACATCGTACGATCATAGCAGTCCAACCACAAGGAAACAGCAAGGGTAAGCTAGTATAAAAAGAACAACATACAGCAAAATTCTAATAATCAGCACAACTTCAACCGTCAACACGACAACATTCTAATTTCCAATCAACCTATGCAACCAACCATCAATCAGATAAAAATGCGTCGTCACGCATATCACCTCGGAGATTCTCCTACAACAACTCAGCCGTTAAGGCCTACCACAACTCAGCCATTTAGGCCTACAACAACTCAGCCATTAAGGCCTACAACAACTCAGCCATTATCAATCTTGCACAACTATACAACTCAACGCATCAACGTACAACTCAACTTATCAACATACAACTCAACTTATATGTTGACTGCCAGAGGGGTGGTTGTGGACTGGGAGTGCTTCAGACGGATGTTTTTGGAGAAGTATTTTCCTGAGAGCGTGAGACATGCCAAGGAAGCCGAGTTCATGCGCTTACACCAAGGAGGGATGACCGTTTCTGAGTATGCGATGAAATTCGAGCACCTAGCTCGTTTTTACTCGCAAGGCATCGCCGAGGCTTGGAAGTGTCGGAAGTTTGCAGAAGGATTGAAATATGACCTGAGGAGAGTGGTGGTGCCTATGGCCATCACTGAATTTCCAGCCTTGGTGGAGAAGGCGAAGGTGGTTGAGCGGTTGGAAGGTGATAACCGCGGGGTGAAGATTTCTGAGGGGCCATCTGGGTCCAAGAAAGGAGGGAACCAGAGGAAGCCATATGATAGGCCCCAACCACATCAAGGGGGTCCTGTCATCAGGCAACCTACTGGTGCTGCTGCTGGTAGAGGACAGGGTGGAGGTGCTGCCCTGAGATGTTACCGGTGTGGAGGGTCCCATATGATTAGGGATTGTCCCCACACAGAGAATCGATGTTTCAGATGCCAACAGATGGGCCATGTATCTTTTAACTGCCCCGCCAGAACCAGACCAGAGAGGGGTACTCAGAGGAGTGATGCTCAGAGAGGAGACGTTCAGAGGGGTGGCAGACCCACCGCAACTGGTAGGGTCTGTGCTTTGACCGGTGCTGAGGCTTCGACTTCTTCTGATCTGGTGAAGGGGAAGGGCAGAGCTGCTGGTAAGGATGTGGTGTTCTTGTTTGATTCTGGAGCTTCCCACTCCTTTATCTCTTATGCTTGTGTTGCCATGTTGGGTGTACCTGTGTGTGATCTGGGGTTGAGACTGCTAGTGTCGACGCCCGCGTCTGCTTCAGTAGTTGCTTCTGAGCTGTGTGTTGGTTGCCCTATTGATGTGAATGGGAAGAGGTATAAGGTAAACTTGATTTGTTTGCCTTTAGTTGATATTGACATAATCTTAGGGATGGATTGGTTATCTGCCAATCGTATCCTTATAGACTGTGCCAATAGGCGGTTGATTTTTCCTCAGGAGGAGGATGAGATGTTGATTTCAGCTAGCCAAGCTGAATCCTTGTTGAGAGATGGGGCAGAATGTTGTCTTCTGCTTGCAGCGTTGAGTGTTGAGACCGAGCGGGCTGTTTCTGAAATTGAGGTGGTGCGGGATTTTGTTGAGGTGTTCCCGGATGAAGTACCTGGGTTGCCTCCTACTAGGGAGATGGAGTTTAGCATTGACTTGGTCCCAGGAGCGGGGCCAGTGTCGGTGGCCCCCTATAGGATGGCTCCTGCTGAGTTGGTTGAGTTGAAGGGTCAGTTGGAGGACCTATTGGAGAAGCAGTTGGTACGGCCGAGCGTTTCGCCATGGGGTGCTCCTGTGTTGTTAGTAAAGAACTTGTTGGAGAAGCCGAGCACTGGTGGAGGGGTACCCATCATATGTTGACTGCCAGAGGGGTGGTTGTGGACTGGGAGTGCTTCAGACGGATGTTTTTGGAGAAGTATTTTCCTGAGAGCGTGAGACATGCCAAGGAAGCCGAGTTCATGCGCTTACACCAAGGAGGGATGACCGTTTCTGAGTATGCGATGAAATTCGAGCACCTAGCTCGTTTTTACTCGCAAGGCATCGCCGAGGCTTGGAAGTGTCGGAAGTTTGCAGAAGGATTGAAATATGACCTGAGGAGAGTGGTGGTGCCTATGGCCATCACTGAATTTCCAGCCTTGGTGGAGAAGGCGAAGGTGGTTGAGCGGTTGGAAGGTGATAACCGCGGGGTGAAGATTTCTGAGGGGCCATCTGGGTCCAAGAAAGGAGGGAACCAGAGGAAGCCATATGATAGGCCCCAACCACATCAAGGGGGTCCTGTCATCAGGCAACCTACTGGTGCTGCTGCTGGTAGAGGACAGGGTGGAGGTGCTGCCCTGAGATGTTACCGGTGTGGAGGGTCCCATATGATTAGGGATTGTCCCCACACAGATAATCGATGTTTCAGATGCCAACAGATGGGCCATGTATCTTTTAACTGCCCCGCCAGAACCAGACTAGAGAGGGGTACTCAGAGGAGTGAGGCTCAGAGAGGAGACGTTCAGAGGGGTGGCAGACCCACCGCAGCTGGTAGGGTCTTTGCTTTGACCGGTGCTGAGGCTTCGACTTCTTCTGATCTGGTGAAGGGGAAGGGCAGAGCTGCTGGTAAGGATGTGGTGTTCTTGTTTGATTCTGGAGCTTCCCACTCCTTTATCTCTTATGCTTGTGTTGCCATGTTGGGTGTACCTGTGTGTGATCTGGGGTTGAGACTGCTAGTGTCGACGCCCGCGTCTGCTTCAGTAGTTGCTTCTGAGCTGTGTGTTGGTTGCCCTATTGATGTGAATGGGAAGAGGTATAAGGTAAACTTGATTTGTTTGCCTTTAGTTGATATTGACATAATCTTAGGGATGGATTGGTTATCTGCCAATCGTATCCTTATAGACTGTGCCAATAGGCGGTTGATTTTTCCTCAGGAGGAGGATGAGATGTTGATTTCAGCTAGCCAAGCTGAATCCTTGTTGAGAGATGGGGCAGAATGTTGTCTTCTGCTTGCAGCGTTGAGTGTTGAGACCGAGCGGGCTGTTTCTGAAATTGAGGTGGTGCGGGATTTTGTTGAGGTGTTCCCGGATGAAGTACCTGGGTTGCCTCCTACTAGGGAGATGGAGTTTAGCATTGACTTGGTCCCAGGAGCGGGGCCAGTGTCGGTGGCCCCCTATAGGATGGCTCCTGCTGAGTTGGTTGAGTTGAAGGGTCAGTTGGAGGACCTATTGGAGAAGCAGTTGGTACGGCCGAGCGTTTCGCCATGGGGTGCTCCTGTGTTGTTAGTAAAGAAGAAAGATGGAGGTAGTCGACTTTGTGTAGATTACCGGCAATTGAACAAGTTGATCATCAAGAACAAATATCCACTTCCTCGGATAGATGACTTGATGGATCAACTGAGGGGAGCATCAGTGTTTTCAAAGATCGATTTGAGGTCAGGATATCACCAAATCCGGGTGAAGGAGGGTGACATACCGAAGACTGCTTTCAGGACTAGATATGACCACTATGAGTATGTCGTGATGCCATTTGGTGTGACCAACGCCCCTGCAGTGTTCATGGATTACATGAACAGGATCTTTCGGCCGTTCTTGGATAAATTCGTGGTGGTATTCATTGACGATATCTTGATTTACTCAAGGACCCGGGAAGAACACGGAGAGCATTTGAGGGTGGTGTTGGAGATTTTGAAAGCGAAGCAGCTTTATGCTAAGCTTTCTAAATGTGAGTTCTGGTTGGATGAAGTGAGGTTCTTGGGCCACGTAATTTCAGCGGAGGGGATTGCTGTTGATCCGGCTAAAGTGGAGTCGGTGTTGCAGTGGGAGCGTCCGAGGACCGTCACTGATATTCGGAGCTTTGTGGGTCTGGCGGGTTACTATCGACGGTTCATTGAGGGATTCTCTAGGATAGTAGCGCCTCTGACCCAGTTGACGAGGAAGGAGCAGCCGTTTATTTGGACAGATGCCTGTGAGCGGAGCTTTGAGGAGTTGAAGAGAAGGTTGACTACTTCTCCTGTGTTGGTGTTACCGGATTCTGGTGAACCCTTTGATGTGTATTGTGATGCCTCTCACCAGGGTCTTGGGTGCGTGCTGATGCAGCACAGGAAAGTGGTGGCATATGCTTCAAGGCAACTGAAGGATCATGAGAGGAATTACCCCACTCATGACTTAGAGTTGGCAGCTGTTGTTTTTGCCTTGAAGATATGGCGACATTATCTGTATGGTGCTCGGTTCAGTGTCTTCAGTGATCACAAGAGTTTGAAATATCTGTTTGATCAGAAGGAGCTGAACATGAGGCAGAGGAGGTGGATGGAATTTCTGAAGGACTATGACTTCCAGTTGATGTATCATCCTGGCAAGGCCAATGTTGTGGCAGATGCACTGAGTAGGAAAACCATTCACATGTCTGGGATGATGGTGAAGGAGTTGGAGTTGGTGGAGAAGTTCAGAGATTTAAATCTCTGTGTGGAGTTAGCTCAGGATCACATTAGTTGTGGGGCAATTACCATAACTAATGAGTTCTTGAGGCAGGTTGGACTCAAGCAGTTGCAGGATGTCGAGTTGGTAAGACTTCTGGGTTTGCTGGGTACCGAGAAGGCGGGTGGCTTTGAGTTGGGAGGAGATGGAATCTTGAGGTTCAAGGGTAGAATTTGCCTGCCTCAGGATGCTGAGCTGAAGAGAGCTGTGTTGGAGAAAGGCCACAAGAGTAGACTTAGCATACATCCAGGTATGACTAAGATGTACCAGGACCTCAAGAAGACTTTCTGGTGGTCTGGTATGAAGAGGGAGATAGCTAAGTATGTGGCGGCCTGTCTGACCTGTCAGAAGGCGAAGGTTGAGCATCAGAAGCCGAGTGGGTTGATGCAGCAGATGGAGATTCCAGAGTGGAAGTGGGATAGCATTTCTATGGATTTTGATTGTGGGGTTGCCTAGGTCAGCTAGGAATAGTGATGCTATCTGGGTGATTGTCGACCGGTTGACCAAGTGTGCACATTTCTTGCCTGTCAATATCAAATGGTCCTTGGAGAAGCTGACGCAGTTGTATGTGAGGGAAATAGTACGGTTGCATGGGGTGCCTTCCAGTATTATTTCAGACAGAGATCTGAGGTTCACTTCCAGATTTTGGCAGAGTCTACACCAAGCCTTAGGCACGAAGTTGAAGCTGAGTTCTGCTTATCATCCGCAGACGGATGGTCAGACAGAGAGGACAATTTTGTCCTTAGAAGATTTGCTGAGGGCTTGTGTGGTGGACCACTTAGGTAGCTGGGAGGAGGTCCTACCATTGGTGGAATTTACGTACAATAATAGCTTTCATGCTAGTATTGGGATGGCACCGTTTGAAGCCTTGGATGGCAGGAGATGGAGGACTCCTCTATGCTGGTATTAGGATGGCGAGTCAGTGGTTGTGGGACCGGAGCTAATCCTACATATTACTGAGGAAGTGAAGATGATTAAGGAGAGGATGAAGACTGCTCAGAGTAAGCAAAAGTCGTATGCTGACAAGAGGCGAAGACCTTTGGAGTTTGCTGAAGGGGAACACGTGTTTCTGAAGGTGACTCCGACTACAGGTGTGGGTAGAGCGAGAGGACAATTTTGTCCTTAGAAGATTTGCTGAGGGCTTGTGTGGTGGACCACTTAGGTAGCTGGGAGGAGGTCCTACCATTGGTGGAATTTACGTACAATAATAGCTTTCATGCTAGTATTGGGATGGCACCGTTTGAAGCCTTGTATGGCAGGAGATGTAGGACTCCTCTATGCTGGTATCAGGATGGCGAGTCAGTGGTTGTGGGACCGGAGCTAATCCTACACGGAGCTTTGTGGGTCTGGCGGGTTACTATCGACGGTTCATTGAGGGATTCTCTAGGATAGTAGCGCCTCTGACCCAGTTGACGAGGAAGGAGCAGCCGTTTATTTGGACAGATGCCTGTGAGCGGAGCTTTGAGGAGTTGAAGAGAAGGTTGACTACTTCTCCTGTGTTGGTGTTACCGGATTCTGGTGAACCCTTTGATGTGTATTGTGATGCCTCTCACCAGGGTCTTGGGTGCGTGCTGATGCAGCACAGGAAAGTGGTGGCATATGCTTCAAGGCAACTGAAGGATCATGAGAGGAATTACCCCACTCATGACTTAGAGTTGGCAGCTGTTGTTTTTGCCTTGAAGATATGGCGACATTATCTGTATGGTGCTCGGTTCAGTGTCTTCAGTGATCACAAGAGTTTGAAATATCTGTTTGATCAGAAGGAGCTGAACATGAGGCAGAGGAGGTGGATGGAATTTCTGAAGGACTATGACTTCCAGTTGATGTATCATCCTGGCAAGGCCAATGTTGTGGCAGATGCACTGAGTAGGAAAACCATTCACATGTCTGGGATGATGGTGAAGGAGTTGGAGTTGGTGGAGAAGTTCAGAGATTTAAATCTCTGTGTGGAGTTAGCTCAGGATCACATTAGTTGTGGGGCAATTACCAT